CCATCACTATAGCAATTTGCCAGACAGCCAACACTTCTTTCGATTCCCAACTACTCTTCCTCATAGCTGTGCGAATGCAATTTCCTCCAGTTTGTGGGGCAACACAAAAATATCACAGCAGACTTTGTTTCATCATTGTTGAGGCAGAATAGTGCCCTATTCTGAAACCTGAACTACCTCAGCATTGAGACTGGGGAATTGTTATCCTCACCAATTTAAAGTGGGACAATTTAAGGAAAGGGCTTATGCATGCAGAGAGTAAAGCTATCACCTTCCAATTCTTTGGATCAAACACTTCCCTTCCAGTAAAACAAATAATGTTCTCTTGCTTTACTAAGTAGTACCAACCCTCAATCCCGGCCAGCATTTTTATTTTTATTTGTTTATATCCTGCTTTTATTGTCTTTATAAATAACTCAAGGCAGCAAACATATCCGACACGGCTTCCTCCTATTTTTCCACAACAACCTTGTGAGGTGGGTTGGGCTGAGAGAAAGTGACTGGCCCAAGTTCACCCAGCTAGCTTTCATGGCTAAGGCGGGACTTGAACTCACGGTCTCTTGCTTTCTAGCCTGCTTTAACCACTAGATAATTTATTTGCTGGCCATCTTGCAGTTCAGTCAACTCTGAGCGGCTTATATCAAGATAAAACATTCAACAATTTTTTAAAAATCCCTTTTTACGACCCTGTAATCCCTTAATTTGGGGTAAAATCAGGGCTGACTGGATGGTGCTGAGTGTTTACTGGCTGGATGTCCTTCCTGACATCACGTGGAGTTCACAGCAGTTATTTTTTCTTTGCCCTCTAGGAGAAAAACATCTGCTGCTATCTAGGATTGAACTCTCAACTTTCTGAGTGGGAGGTGAGTATCTTCACCACCACACCACTCAAAACAAACATTCAATGATTATAAATATAAAAATGGATTAAAATGACAAAAATTAAAAAAGCCAACAGCTTCTCCTTCAGGACCCCGTGCCAGTCAGCATTGCCAGTTTTAAGGCCTATCCTGAAAGCTAAAAAATAGGGGGCAGATCTTATTCTCTGTGGCAAGATGTTTCCAAGGGCGGGAGCCATGCTAGAAAAGGGTCTTCTGGATTCCACCAGCAAAATCTTCAAGATATGTAATTGTCCCCCAAGGTATTAGATGTGTCCTCCTATGTGAATTTGCTTGGGCATTTACTTTATTCTGCTTAGTTTTCCAGTGTCATTAAGAGTATTAATTTTACCCTTTATATCTGTTTGTTTTTCTCTACCTAATAATTTTGGAGTTGGAAATTTGTGAGTTGTTTGTAAATTTCCTTAGGGGACTTTACTGGATTAGAAGACAATTTAATAATAATCTGAATAAATAAAAGACCCACAGATAAAATCTAGAATACTGTGACACAGCTTGCACAAAGATTAATAAAATACGAAGTATGTATTTTATAGCTTCCAAACATTGCCTTTCTAAATGAGCAATGGCCTTCTTACAGAGGCCGACTTGCACCATTCTGGCAGTGATCACCATTCTCTCAATCTCTCAGAAGGGTGAATTTCGCACATTTTGAATGTACAATTTGGAAAATCACACTCTTCTGAGAGATTATGAGAATGGTATCCGCTTCCAAAATGCTCCCCACTTCCAGGATGGCATGAGGTGATTCTGTAGGAAGGTCATGTATCTAATTAGCCGAGCACTCTTTCGGAAAGGCAATCTTTGGAAGAGGTAAACAGAGCAAGATGTTCCAGGGTGGGGAGGAGGCCCAAAGCCTCTGGAACCCAGCAGGGCAGGCATGCTGGCTGAGGAATTCTGGGAGTTGAAGTCCACAAGTCATAAAAAAGGCTAAGTTTGAAGACCCCTGAGATAGATGGACAGTGGTATTGGGTGCACTGTAGGAAGACCAAATTGAGAGCAGTTCCTCCTGGAGAATATGTATGTGGTTGTTAAGAGTTGACAGCAACTTAACAGCATATAAACCGGTCAATTAATAGGACACAGTACATATTTTATTTTTTTTAAAAAATCATAAAAACTAGATACATGCTTCAGAAAATTAGATTTTATATGTACATTTACTGTTCTTGCCAAATGGCTGCTGCAGAAACAATCTGTAACACCACAGGCATTTATTTGGGAGTAAATCGAATTGAATTCACTGAGACTGAATTCCTACACCTACAACAAAGCACTAAGTGTTAAAAGGGGAGAAAATCTCTGGACATCTTTCTCTCTACTCCATTCTATCATCAGTCTAACCATTCCCCAATTTCATCCCAATTCTATCCCCAGGATTCTGCACTCATATTTTTTTTTATCTACACAGTTTTAACCCCCTCCCTTTAAAAAAAATATCAGAACCTGTTCATTGTGCATGATTTTTAGTTTTCTGCTATTGAAAAATACACAATGAAAAACATTCAGATCTTAGTATGTAGGTACAGTATAATGGGGTCATATTGTTGCTCACTACAATGTCTTACATCACATAGTATGGAAGCCAGGATATGGCTGCGCAGTAGTCTCCTATGCTTCTTTTAAACAAGCTTAATAGAAGGGAGGTGCTTGCCAACATCCACTTCACAGCCAACAGGACCCATGAGAGCATGCTTATATTTGGTTTAATTCAATCAAGTAAGTACCCATAAACTATTGCAGAATATTTATTTCCTGTTGAGACTTAGATGCAAATGTGGTATTTAAAACTGGGCTACATAGCTTAATTATTTGATCCCAACTCTTTCACTTCAAGCCAGAACATGAAATATAGAATTCCTTAACATCACTGACAGGACTATTGTTCATAATTATATCATTAGCATGCCCCCTCTTTTACCATGCACCACATTAATGACTTGCTTTTGATATTGCATTGTGATGATATGAAGTTTCTATTCCATTGTGTACTAGATCAGGGAGAAAGGTCCCTATAGTGAAGGAATGTGGTTGAATAAGGCATAGGAGCAATTTGCTGTGCTCCCAAACACATACACACAACTTTTGTTCAGATGTGGAAGGCTTTTGGACAACAATCATCCTTGTTATTGCCCTTTCTGGCCAGGATGGATTGTTTCCCTGCTTTTATGTAAAAAAAAGCCACAAAATATGCAAACAAGGCAGACAAGGAAATGAACATTATAATATAGTTCATAGTGGTTGTTAAGGAATCTGGTGATAGAATTTAAGAAAATGTTTCCATAGGACAGATAGAAATAGAAAAAGGCCAAATACTTTTTCTGCCTTTTAATAAATTGTTTCTCTCCCAATTGTCTGGTGGGACCATTTTTACTATCCTCCAGATGTAGCATAATTAACTAATAGAAATAGTATTTAGACTTATATACCACTGCATAGTGCTTTATAGCAGGGGTCTTCAGCCCCCATAGGAACTGGCTACGCAAGTGAGCAAACCTTCATCTGCACACGTGCAGGATATAGGAAACATATGAAACCATGAACCCTCTCCCCGGTCTGTGAGAAAATTTTTTTCCCACGGAACCTTCCCTTGGTGCCCAAAAGTTTGGGGTCCACTGCTTTACAACTCTCTTGAGCGGTTTACAGTATCAGCATATTGCCCTCCACAATTGGGTCCTCATTTTCCTGACCTTGAAAGGATGGAAGGCTGAGTTAACCTTGAGCTGGTCAGGATCGAGCTCCTGGAAATGGGCAGAGTTATCCTGGAATACTGCATCCTAACCTCTGTCCCACCACAGATCAGTAGGACCAAACCATTGTCTTATCTGTAGAGACTCCAGTGGATTCTATTTCTTAGCTACGTGGAAAGGTGATAACGGAGGAGCCTTCTCCAACTCACAACTCTTCAGATATTATAGAATGCAATTTCTTCTATCAGCCCAGTTCAATGTCTTGTGATGGAATTTAACATTCACATTTAACGTTTATCTGGAGAGCTGGGGTAGAAAAAGGCAGAGATGGAATAGCAGAGATGGAATAGCACAGATAAATTATTTACTTTGTAAAGTATTGCCACCTGAGTATGGTAATTCCTCTCTTAATTCTTGGAGGCATATCATGTTTAAGCGTCCTATTTTTGTGGGGAAAAAAAGATTGAAAAAAATAATTAAAAGGTAAATTAATAGGTAGAAATAACTTTGTGAAGGTCCCTCCTGAGGATTTCTTTGATGGCTGGAATTACAGAAATTTTAGATTACTAATTTTCTACAACTGAGAAGAAGAAACATTTTTGGTGAACACCATTAATGAAGAGAGTTTTAACTTTTTACATTTTTAAATCAGTGAGCACATTTAGCATTTTAAAAGAATACTATAGGCTTTCCCGGCAAATGGCGGCCAAGATAAATGAGGTTAGTCACAAAACTTCTTTTACTAGAAGAAAAATGAAATCCCAAATTGCAGCCACTGATCATTTTAATTTCCCAAAATGCGGTCAGAGCCTATGAGAGTCCAGTGATATTGTTGGAAATTTAACGCTGATGCTGTGTTTTGAAACATGCTAGCTTCCCAATCATTGTTGCTTACTAAAAGAATGTAAATAAATACAATCAGGTAAGGTAGAGATATTAGCAGATGTTAAGAAACGTACTGGTAGGCACACTGCTGCTTCTGGACATCACATTAGGGACCCAAGCCACAAGGCTTACACTATATCTGAAATAGCTAGAAGAACAAATGTATTCATTGCCATACCATTTGAAAGCACACGATATGGTACTTTCCTATTGTGACTAATCATTCAAGTTGAACTGAGAAATCACAGATTAAAAATGGAAACTTTTTTCTGGAATGTTGCTGAATTAGGTTAGCTGTATCAGAAGTCAAGACTTGAAGGCACAAAATAATGCAGTGGAACTTAATTTTTACAGAAAAGCTGAAAAAGCATTTAAGAAGACCTTTAATTTTACAAGCCAGTGATTCTCAGGCTTTCATACTGAAAACAACTCTTTCTTTGTATTAGGAAAAGAAAGTCCCCTAAGTTTTCCACTAATGTCAGTCGATCATTTATTTAGTTGCACTAATATTTATTAAGAAAAGAAAAAATGGCAGGATAGATGCATAAAATTAATAGGTTTTTAAAGAATTTGCCTCCTATTGTTTTAGACATTGTGTGTGGTTTTGTAGCAATAAAATGTTATTGCTTATACTTATAAGCAATATATACTTATAACCCATATGAAACCCCTCAGCACTTTGTTTTTCATTTTGGGAGAAGTCTAGCTCCCCCAAATTCCCAAAAAATACATATGGAAATCAAGGCTAACATTTTAGCCACATCATTGTAGTAGCTAGACAGGAAACGGAAGTGAAGTTATATGCCAAAAAGTGTGCCCACCGAAATAGAATTTTGCTGTTTATAATGCCTGTTCATAAGTAAATCCCACTGAATTTGTGAGATTACTGTCAGGTAAATGGGTCCAAGACTGTAATCTTAATGCAAAATTATTCCAATGCAGGTGTTTTTATTAGTTTTGCATTATTCCCATAAATTCTAACACTCTGTACATGGTCAGTTTTGTTATAAACGGGGGGAAAAATCTGTATGATTCAAATCAGAAAGTAGGAAAAAAAAGTAGGCAAATAAGAACCTTGTGGGGAAAGAGGGAAATCAAAACACCCTTGCTCAATCTCCTTATCTTGCCAGGAGTGCTTTCCTCTGCCAACTAAACACCACTGTGAGGAAAAGCCCAGTGTTTCTTTATTATAGAGAAGCAGCAATATAGAACCCAGTTTGAGCACCACTGAGGTAGCTACTGCTAAATTAGGCTCTTTGTTTCTCATGCTCTGAAAGATAGTATCCGTTGTTTGGAGTATGTGGCACATGCCTCTTCTCCCATATCTGTTAGGGGGCAAAAAACACCCTTCACCCCAAAATATGCAGAGTACTTAACCCCAATTCCCAGGGAGAATACTGTGACTCAGCAGGCTGTCCAGAGGCCGCTCCCACTGCATTTCACAGACAATTGCAGGGTTTCCTTCGGAAGGCCAGGAGGTGATTCTATTAATTTGAGATGTTAGCTCTAAAACAGCTGTCAGAAGCTACAGATGCAGCTGACATTAATTATTACAACTTCTGTTGGTTAAAAGCAGCTTCCAACTGTCTCTGTTTGGTGACACCATAAGATGATACAATAAGATACACACATCTTATTGGAGGAAAAAAATAAAGTCTAATTTTTTTTTGTTTGGGCTAACATAGTTTTGCTCCCATCTCCAGATCGTAAAGGAGACTCTGAGCTTCTCCATCAGATAAATCCAGATGTCTTTCACTTTCTGCATCATTTCCAAGGCACAACGGGTTCATGATATAACGGTAGTCACTAGTCACAGCCGCAATTGCTCCTGTTTCGCCATTCAAGGTTCCAAAGGGACAATTCATGGCGACTTCGCTCCTGCAAGCTTCTTGGGATCTCCCAACATTGACATAAAGAGGGTCCTGACTGTTTGAAAGCAACGACAGTCTTGCCAAAATCATTTCAAGCTGCAGTTTCAGAGCTCCAAAGCTTGGACGTAGCCTGGGTTCCGAATGCCAGCATCTGCCCATGAGATCGTAGCTGCAAGGCAAGTCAGAGAACAGAATGCTGAGACAAAACAAGGAGAGCCATCTGCAGTCCCTTCCCTCTTGAAAAATGGCTACTGATAATGAGCTCCATCCTAGGGATAGGTATGGAGGCTAATGAATAATAGAAATACCTATTCTGTCCACTGGATGATTTCTCAAGATACTTAAAACTGAATGTACGCCATTAATATTTTTGCACCTTTAATCTTCATTTACATTATAATTCCATCACTGTTGAATTGTTACTGTATTTAAATTATCTGCTCTGTGTGTTTATTAAGCAGAAATCTATTTTTTGGGAATGCGGTATTTTTTTTTCTTCCTAGCATTTTCCCACAAATGCAAGATCATTATTTTTTCAAATTAATCGAGTGCTGTATATAAATAAATATGACTGTGAAACAATCACACATATTTTACTAAATTATAGCTGGAATTATCTATGGCAACAATAAATAAATATTAAAATAATGCAATGAGGATAACCTGCAAACTATATAGTTTTCAAATCGTTATTTTTGATTCCTGGAATCCCTTTGAACTAAGATGGTAAATTTCGTTGTAAATTTGGGTCGTTTGGGAAATATATTGCAATGCTATATTAAATCCTAGAATAGGCTTATCCTGTTTTAAAATTTCCAGAACTGAGAACTTTCAAAACTGAGAACAAAGGAAAATTTTAGTTCTATGTATGTATGAGGAAATAAAGACTTCTGGACACTAAAATGCTAAACATCTTTGACATACTGGAACTCATTCCCAGTAAACATCCATTATATATGCTCTAAAAGAAAATCAACCCTGGCTGTTCTTTGGAATGACAGATACGGAAGCTAAGGCTCAAATACATTGGCCACCAAATGAGAAGAGAGGAGTCAAACGAAAAGCCTCCAATGTTGGGAAAGATTAAAGGTAAAAGGAGAAGGGGACGGCAGAGAATGAGATGGTTAGACAGTGTGGGCATGGGTTTGGGACTGTGGAGATGAGAGGCCTGACATGCTCTAGTCCATGGGGCCACAGAGACATGACTTTGCGATTGTACAACAACGCAACAACATATGTGCTGTGCATAGAGCATTTGTATAGTAGGGTACCTCCATGTCTGTTTAGGTTAAAAATACTTGTTTAAAATAATTTAGAAACATTTCCTTGAAGCACACCAGATTTTTTTTTCAAATTAAAAGTATGTGGATGCAATCACTCCTATAGGCATAGTGCATTGGTAGGTAGATTTTCAAACAGTACTGAAATGCACTTGAGCACTTGTTCAAAACTTGACAATTTTTGCCAAGGCCTGGATAAGAAAATAAGCCGATAAGCCACTCACATGTCTTCAAGGCACTCTGGCGGCTGCTTCAGTCTGTTCCCACTGATGAGGTAGTTGTAAATTTCTGCATTTTCAATGCCTGCATACGGAGTTTGCCCTCGGGTCACAATTTCCCACATAGTCACACCAAATGCCCACTGAAATGGAATTGAAACAAGTGAGGAAGAAAAGGAGTTACATATACAGAAAAAAAAACCAAGCTTACATATACATGTACATAATAACCAAAGGAATACATGTGGAACAACAAACGAGAGGCTGTACTTTCCTGTACAAACCACCTGGGTGATGGTTATACTTATGCTGACCACCAGAGGGCAGTATGTGGCAGTTTTCATTTTATTTGGAACAGTGGAATTCACACTCCCTCCTGGGAACTGAACTCACGAAGACTTGTACTTTAAGTGATTGTGTATAGTGCATTAGTTCTGAGAAACATCCAAGTCTTGATACTCATCACCATGGCAAGAAAGGACCTACAGAGACTTCAGATTAGGATATACAGTCCACCTTCCTTTTCATACGAACTCGGAGAAGTGTAGATGTTACATTCTAGGACTCAGGGGTAGGCAACCTTGGCTCTTTTATGATTCGTGGACTTCAATTCCCAGAATTCCTGAGCCAGCTTGGCTGGCTCAGGAATTCTGGGAGTTGAAGTCCATGAGTCATAAAAGAGCCAAGGTTGCCTACCCCTGTTCTAGGTAATTCTTGCTTTACGGCCACTTGTTCAGCGACTGATTGAAATTACGATGGAGATGAATGAATGTTTGGAACTCAAAGTTACAGCCATTGCAGCATTGCATTCCTGCAGTCACATGCTCAAAATTTAGCTAGGTACACGTCAGCGGAAGGAAGAAGACTGAACATCAGCTGGGGTTAGCAGAGGGCAGGGGGAGCAAAAGAGCAGAGATTGGGGAAACATAGAAGGGCAGAGAAAATTGAAGTGGAGGCAAGCATGGCAGGGCAGGAGAAGTGTGAGGGCCTCCCTTAATGGCCACAACTGTGACTACCGGAGTTGGTGTCGCTAAGTGGTACAGTCACATGTTTCACATAATGACCGCTTCACTTAGAAATGTAATTCTGCTCCCAATTATGGATTTAAACCTGTATTTCCTGTCCTGCTTTTATAAGATTTTGCATGATCAATATGATATAATTCATCATCATATTTTATATATAGCACAGCATTTAAGCAAAGTGTAGATACAAGCTTGGAACGATATAATTGGCCATTATTATGTAATAAAGTAGAAGGACAACGTTACATAAAGAAAAGAGAAAGTAGAAAATCAGAAGTGATAAAATAGAAATCAGAAAAATGCAGAGCACTTGATAGGTATCAAGGGTCCTATATAGACAATAACAAATGCCATGTTAAAGATCTAAAATCTATTCTACCAATAAAACCTTTAATGCGCTGATTGGAGAAGATCCAGATCTCATTTCTGCCTATGTATTTCAAAGGAAGGTGTGAATTAAGCTGCTATTTTCTTTAGGAATTATCTCTGTGATTGATTGTTTTGCAGACCAAGTGTTGCAGCTGCAGATTCAGGTCAAAAGCTAGCACATTCACTTTTCACAATCTGGTTCATGATTATACAGCAGAATAAATCTGGTTAGTTTGTACTCTGATCTGTATCAGCACCTATAACAATTATGGTGCAAAGATCATCAAAAATAAACATGACTGTGATCACAGAATACCTAGCCAGCAAAATAGAATTATATATTTCTTCATCTCACTGATAATTATGAAAACAAAGCAAAAAAAAACCTCCACTCACCACATCACTATGAGTTGTATAGAGATTGTCCGCCAGGCTTTCCAATGCAAGCCACTTCACTGGCAGCTTTGAGGCAGAGCCCTGACGGTAATAATCTCCACTATAGATTTTCTTTGAAAGCCCAAAATCAGCAACACAGACATTCATGTTTTCATCCAGCCTAACAGAAACCAAAAAAGAAGGGGTGGGGGGAAGATGTAGAAGAATGCACGTCAATTGAAAGAACACAGGAATAGTAGGTTTAGATTCTCTCCTTCAGACTAGAGCTCTTTCTTTGTGCCAACACAGCATGCTTGTCAGGAACAGTTAGAGAGATAAAAGTTGCTCAGGCTGTTGCTGAGCCAAAGTCCTCAGTGTTTAATGGCTGCCTGCTAGTGCTCACGAGCCGAAGTTAACAACTGACTATGCTCTGAAGAGGGGGAAAGTAGGTGATTCACTTCATGTTGCTTTCCTCACAAATTTATTTTCTACGTTTGATACGATTACTCTTTGTGTATTTAATACTTTTCTATACCACAAAAGCTATGGCACTTTCCAGAGGGATTCTGGGGTTGGATCCTTGCCTTCAGGGAGCGGCATTTTGTATTTCTCATACACATCTCAAAGAATTTGGTTATTCAATAATTATCTGCCTGCCTGCCTGCCTGCCTGCCTGCCTGCCTGCCTGCCTGCCTGCCTGCCTGCCTGCCTGCCTGCCTGCCTGCCTCCCTCCCTCCCTCCCTCCCTCCCTCCCTCCATCCATCCATCCATCCATCCATCCATCCATCCATCTATCTATCTATCTATCTATCTATCTATCTATCTATCTATCTATCTATCTATCTATCTATCTATCTATCTATCTATCTAATCTGATTATTATCCCACTTTTATTATTTTATAAATAATTCAAGGCAGCAAACATACATAATACTTCCTATTTTCTAACTCCTAAGGTCCAACCCTGAATCAAGCGATATTCTTCCCTGGAACAGTCTGGTCTTTATCCAATGACTGGCTCAATTTGAAAGAAATACTAAATTTGATTTGATTTTGATTTTGATTTTATTAAATTTATACCCCGCCCTTCTCCCGGAGGACTCAGGGCGGCTTACAGCCAGTTTAAAATAATAGTACAGTACAATACAAAATTTAAAAAGATTTAAAAATAACTATTCAGATTTGGCTGCTCCTACTAAAAATTTAATTTAAAACCCTTTAAAATACCCCTAGGCCAGTCCTGCCTGCTGAAATAACCAGGTCTTAAGGGCGCGGCGGAAGGAGGGGAGATCCGGGATCACCCTGATCTCTGGGGGCAGCTCGTTCCAGAGGGTGGGTGCTCCGACAGAGAAGGGTCTCCCCCTGGGGGTCGCCAGCCGACACTGTCTGGCTGACGGCACCCTGAGGAGGCCCTCTCTGTGGGAGCGTATCGGCCGGTGGGAGGCAATCTGTGGCAGAAGGCGGTCTCGGAGGTAACCAGGTCCAATGCCATGGTGCGCTTTGAAGATGATAATCAACACCTTGAAGCGCACCCGGAAGGCCACAGGCAGCCAG